CCCAGAAGACTCCCCAAACAACTGCTAGAACTGGTAAATGAACTGAGTCAAGTTTCAGGATACAAAATCAATGTATAGGAATCTGTTGCGTTTCTACACAACAATAATGAAGAAGCAGAAAAAAGAATTAAGAAAACAGTCCCAATCACAATTGCATCAAAAATAATAAGATACCTAGGAATAAACCTAACCAGTATAGTGAAAGACTATACTATATACTCTGAAAGACTATACTATATACTTTGAAAACGAAAAACACTAATGATAGGAATTTAAGATGATCAGAAAAAAATGTGAAGGCATTCCATGCTGATGGACTGGAAAACAATTATTAAAATGCCTATACTAGCCAAAGAAATCTACATATTCAGTGCAATCCCTATCAAAATGCCAACAACATTTTTTCACAGAACTAGAGCAAATAATCTGAAAGTTTGTATGGAACCACAAAAGATTCTGAGGAGCCAACATAAACTTGAAAAAGGAAACCAAAGCTTAGAAGCATCACAGTTACAATAATATCCTGCTGCATGTGACACTGAAACTTACAATTATAAACACATAATAAGTATTGTAAGTTTCAGTGTCACATGCAGCAGGATATTATTGTAACTTATGAGAAGATAATATACATAGTTAGTGAAGGTATGGGAAACTGAGTACACTTTTGCTTTTATGGTGGGAACATAAACTCATTCATTCAATCCTGAAGTAAATTTGGCAACTTATTTCAACAAAGTTTAAATGTGCAGGATAATTGAAATCATTTATATTGGCCGGAATTTACTTAAGAGGAATTATCAGACATGAGCAAAAAAAATAAATTGTATAAATATATTTATGCAAGAGTTATTCACAATGCAAAAGTTTAGAAACATGTGAAAATGGCACAAATGAGTGATTGGAGTAAATATACCAATATAGCTTGACCAAAATGGAATGTAATATGCCTGTAAAAAGTTTTATTTGCAAATTATTTAAATACATTGAGAAATACTCATTGGAATGTACAGTATTATCCAGTTTGTTTAAGGTGGTGTGTGTTCCATATAAAAATATTAACAGTAGGATTATAATTCTTATTTTTATATTTATAATAATGAATAATGAGTAAGCTTCAATATAATGAATATATATTACTTTCATAATTAGGAAAAAATATAGGAGAAAAAGTTTCTCATAGAAAAACTTTTGGTTTTCCATGTATCACTAAATAGTCTTTCAACAGGTTCCTCTTATCTCCACCTCCTAAATGAAAGGACTTCCTTAGATCTACCATTATGCCTCAATTGTTATAGAGTGTGTGTCCCTGAAATCTCTTCTTCCATACTCTCTGTAACATCTTAATGAATGTCTCATGGGTCATGATTTCATCATATCTCTCCACCTGCATTGCCTGGTGGTTCCTGGTTCAGACTATCATTTAGTGAATGTGTGAAATTTCACCTCACGGTTTTCTCAGATTTCCTCCTACTTTTCATTTCTTTAATTCTATTAGTGCTGGTATTATCTCTTATCAAAATTATCTTTGGCTTTTTCTCCTCCTTGCTTCTCACACCCACATCTTTCAACTTCTTTTTTTCTTACTGGGATATATAAACACCTTTACCCCTAGAAGTCTTTTATTATCACATATACCCAGCTTTGCCATTCAATCAATATATTCTACTGTCCCCACTTTAATCTTCTTGAAATGCTACTTTGACAAATCAACATCTTCCTCAAGCTTTTACCCTGTGTATATGATGAAGTTGTCACTCATGCTATCTTACTCCTTAACTCTCACATTTGATTATTCTAAACCTTGCAGTCTACTGAAACATAACTTTTCTTGACTATATTTCCTGTCTTAAACTGTTCTCCTTTTATCTCTGCCTACTGTAAACCCCTCCATTCTTCAGAGTCCAGCTTAAATTCTTTCTTCTTTGTGGGTGATTCGACAAATGTCATATCAAGTTTTTTCTTGCCTTAAGTTAACGTAAGTAGCTTATTGTATCTGGGGAAGAATTTAAGTATCTGCAAAACTCTATGGTTTTCTTAAGAAATTAACTTTTTTTTTTAACAGAATGACTTTACTGCCCCCTTTGTCTAGTAAACAATAGTTTATACATATTGTTCTGGCATGAATATTACTAATGCTCCCTATTAGTTTTAAAAGTTGGGACAAGGGGCACCTGGGTGGCTCAGTCGGTTGGGCATCTGACTTCAGCTCAGGTCATGATCTCACAGCTTGTGAGTTCAAGCCCCGCATCAGGCTCTGTGCTGACAGCTCAGAGCCTGGAGCCTGCTTCGGATTCTGTGTCTCCTTCTCTCTATATCCCTCCCCACTTTCTCTCTCTCTCTCTCTCTGTCTCTCTCAAAAATAAATAAAGATTTAAAAAAATAAAAATAAATAAGTAAATAAAATAAAAGTTGGGACAATAAAGTGTATGGTTATCCTTCTTATCCAGTACAAAATATCAAGCAAAAGTTGCTGGTAGATATATGAGCAAAAGTGCCTTCTACTGAACCACACACTATTAGCATAAGTACAAAAAGGAGTCACCTTAAGTAAAAGAATGCCTTTCTAAATCTTGTACTGGAAAGGTAATAAAGTACAGTATTCCTTTAGCTCTGTACCATCTGGATGACCTTTCAAAGCAGGTTTTGTATATTGAATATAGTTGTCTAGATTGGAGATGATGGAAAACATCTATTACCGGCAAATGGTAAGAGCCATTATTCTCTTTTATCCTTCCTTGCACCCCCATCCCCCATCTTTTCATGACATGGGATTGTGTATGGCAAATAAGTTTCTGAGTAAATGACAATTCTCTTAGGTCAGGGGTCCCCAAGACCACCCCTAGGTTTGGTGATTTGCTAAGATGATATAATGAAAAATCAGCAGAAGATGCATAGAATGAAATCTGGGGGAAAGCAGGCACAAACTTACAAGAGTCCTCTTTCAGTGGAGACAGAGCATGTTTAATTCCCCCAGCCATAAATTGTGACAACACGTGTAAAATGTTGTCTGTTAGAAAGAAACTCATAGACTGAGTGTCCATGGTTTTAATTGGGGGCTCCTCACATAGGTACTCTCTGTGTGTCATATCCTTAAATTCCAGACCCCCAGAAGGAAAGCAGGTGTTCAAAATAAATCATATTGTTGGCACAATTTAGGAACAGTGAGCTACTCTTACCATTTAGGGTGGTAGGTACCCTCCTGAAATCCATTTTCCCAGATACCAGCAAGGACTAGCCTTGTAAACAGGCCTTTCAGTGGAGAACATTCAGGAGTACTGTGCCATCTTCACAGCTTTGTTGACCACAAATAGCCATCTTAAGCTCTAAAGGTGTCTAGTAGTCTCTATAGTTTGTTCTTATGTGCTAGCCAATATAAGCAATGTCATTATTTTTTAAAGTAAATGAAAGCTTCAGAGGTAACTTGTGGAATGGAATGTTATCTCTGAGACTGAAATTATTCTCACATCCTTTACATCCAGTGCTGTACTGGAGCATTCCTTTGGAGAGCTGATTTTCCCATCTCTCTCCAACTCTCACATTCAGTGATGCTGGGTTTGTGGTTTGGAATTGGCTATTTGGGGAATATTTACACCATTGAAACCAGCAAATACTACAAATCAGGTATGCCCACCAGAGAGCCAGTTGTTAAACATTGATTAGCATACCACCACCTATATACCTCCTTACCATTGAGTCTGTAAATACCATGTTGCTTGAAACAGTCATAAGAAAATATAATGATTTGTATGAAATGCTGATACCTAAACAGTCTTCTGGGAGCTGAGAAGTTTCTGGTCCAAATTTCCTACCTGATTTATATGTTCTTTTTATATATTAGTTCGGGAACTTGGAATTCTCAACTTTAAAAATACCTAAAATGAGTTGCTAATAATATCGGGCTATTTTTTATTTATATAAATAGATTTATAGCAAATAAATATAATTATTATTAAAAGTGTTTCAAATGAAATTTTAAGATGCTATGATGCCCAAGCCAGCAAACCTGATTTTCTCTCTTTTAAAGCTTCCTTATGTGAAATTAGCATTGTTAAATGGATCCAAAAAGCAATTTTCTGCTCCCAAATTATTGTTGGTGGATACTTAGTACTCCAGAGAGCCCATTCTTTTCATCTGCTTTTAGTAATCTCAGCTGGCAGGTAGGAGTGCAAAACTGGAAAAGAAAAGTAAAATCATGCTTATACTAGTAAACCAACGTCAGTTTTAAAGAGGACATCAGAAGATGATAGTGGGCATAGAGGAGGGCAACATCAAAAAAAAATTATCTCAGTAACACTTTCTCACGCTTTATCAGTAGAACCTTATTGCAGTTATAAATAATAAATGTGCATATCATTGATGGAGCATCGTTCACTATTTTAGAACCATTGAATTTTTTTTTTTGCCTCTGCCACGTGTATTCCCTTTCTAAGAGTTTATCTAATGATATGACTCTGCTGAATATTCTCAAATGATTCTCCCTCAGTTAAAATCCAAAATTTGTTACGCAGCATCCAAGATTTTTTAAAGTATGATGCCAGCCTTACTTAACTAACCGTCCTGTCCTCCACTTTTTACTCTGCAGCCAAACTCTGTCAGTCTCTTTCATGCCTCTTTACTTTTTCATCTTTGACTGCCAGTTGTTCATCTTAAGACCCAACTCATACCACCATTTTCTTCCTGAGTCTAGTTTCTTTTCCTATGATCCCATAGATTTTCATATACATTTAGATGCCTTTTTCATATTTTTTGTACTGAATGTGGTACACTTACTCCCTGCTGCCCCTTCATACTCCATGTCCTGTAAACTTGGTGGGCAAGGACTATGTTTTCCTAGTTCCTGTATGCCCAAAACATAATAATAGAATTGCTATATTAAAACTTTTTGTAGCACTTAACTTTTAATAGAGATATTGGAGTAGAATAGGATTTGAGGCTTTTTCTACATAGAGCCATCAATAATTACTTTGTGTCATGACTTGCCTTTTTTTACTCCTTAGGCAGATACACTGATTGACCGAGAGCATCAAAATTTTTATGAAGCATCATTAGAATATGTCTTTAAAATTCAAGAGGTTCAAGAAAAAAAGAAGTTTGAATTTGTTGAACCGGTAAGTTTCAGTTTCCCTACAAAACAGTAGTTCTAACATACCATATGAAAAGAAATGGCAATGTTTTTCTGTTGAAAATTGTGATTTTTTTTTAAAAAGAACAAAAGGGAAGGGAGGAATAGAGGAGGGAAAATAGGTGGAGTTCAGGGCACTATTAGGGCAATGGAACTATTCTATATGATACTGTAATAGTGGATACATGTCATTATACATTTGTCAAAACCTACAGAATATACAATGAACAAGGTAAACCCTAATGTAAAATATGGATGTTAGTAATAACGTATCAATATTTGGTTATCATTGTAACAAATGTAGCATACTAATACAAGATGATAATAATTAGGGTGTGTGGGTGGAGGTTGAAGGAATATATGAAATCTCTTTATTTTCTCTACTCAATTTTTTTTTTAATTTTTTTTTCAACGTTTTTTTTATTTATTTTTGGGACAGAGAGAGACAGAGCATGAACGGGGGAGGGGCAGAGAGAGGGGGAGACACAGAATCGGAAACAGGCTCCAGGCTCCGAGCCACCAGCCCAGAGCCCGACGCGGGGCTCGAACTCCCGGACCGCGAGATCGTGACCTGGCTGAAGTCGGACGCTTAACCGACTGCGCCACCCAGGCGCCCCTCTACTCAATTTTTAAATAAACCTGACTACTCTTAAAATATTTTATTAATAGAAAAATTAAAAGATTAAAAAGACTTACATTATATATACCTAAGTAAATATAGCTCACCACTAAAGCGACCCATTTACTAAACCTTTAGGTGAAAGGAAAAAACATAAGGTTATATTTCACCCTTTGTTTCATTCCACTTCCTTGAAAGTCTGGGATCTGCCTGACTTTCCTATGAGGTAATGTAAAAAGTAATGGATTCCTTAATATAAATTGCATTACAGGAAAAAACAGGTAGCTGGTCTTTATAAGTTTACTTCATTTTCTTAGCATTTTTCCCCCAAGTTGTACCATAATATGTTATAATATTGCCTGAGTAGGTGTCTTCATAAAGCATCATATGTGGTGAGTAAAGGTAAGTTCTAGAAGTCAAGATGATCTTCAGTTAATATATAATGTCAATTCCCATGAGAGGAGCAATAGTTAAATACATAGGTAATCTAAATGATTATTTAATCCATATTTTTCTTCCTATGTCAGTTTTTTAAAAATGTGTTTATAGTTAAGTAATAAAATACCTGTTCCTGTTTAAGGGGAGATAGTGAGGAAAAGGAAAAATAATACACATTTTAAAATATATTTGACGAAATTCATTTCTTGTGGGGAAACCATTAATGATTCCCTAAGGATGATGGGAAACAGAGGCAGAGCAGAGCCTGGGAAAAGTTCTTAGACCCTGCCTGGCTCCCAGCCACTTGTGTTTCATTTTTCTCTCTTCAGCTGAAACTACCTCACTCGTTCCTATAAACTGGGCATTTGGCAAGCTTGTAAGACTAAACCTTCAGCCAGACAAATTTAAGGAACTGAAGACCACAACACAGGCTCAGGAATTTAATTTTTACCTTTTATTTGGGATAACAGTCTTAACTACAAGTTCTGTTTTTTCAAACAAACGGCTAAGTCCTTAAATCCCTTAGAATGAGTTAGTAACCTCTTATTTAGTAGATGTTTTGGGTATCTTATTAAATTTTATATGACTTAAGGGACCTTCTAAGGCTTATCTGTGGCTCATTGAGATCTAGGCAGCCTAACAACCACCAGTTTGGGAAGATGACAAATATTTAAAATTCCTATTCCCTTCTCATTTAGCCCATCTCTTTATCCACCTCCCCTCCAGCAACCCTCAATTTGTTCTCTATAGTTAAGAGACTATTATGGTTTGCCTTCCTCTCTTTTATCTTATTTTGTTTTTCCTTCCCTTCCCCTATGTACATCTATTTTCTTTCTTAAATTCTGCATATGACTGAAATCATATGGTATTTGTTTTTCTCTGACTGATTTTACCTAGCATAGTACACTCTAGTTCCATCCATGTTGTTGTAAATGGCAAGATTTCATTCTTTTTGATGGCTGAATAATATTGCATTATATATATGTGTGTGTGTGTATATACACATATATATGTTTGTATATGGATATGTATATACAGATATATGCATATATATACTACCACATGTGTGTGCATGTATGTATATATATACACATATACATACACACATGTACACATATGTGTCTGTGTGTGTGTATGTGTGTGTGTGTATATATATGTACACACACACACACACACACACACACACACCACATCTTCTTTATCCATTTATCAGTCGATGGACATTTGGGCTCTGTCCATAGTTTGGCTATTGTTGATAGTGATGCTATAAAACATTGGGGTGAATGTGCCCCTTCGAGTCAGTACTTTCTTATCCTTTGGATAAATACTTAGTAGTGCAAGTGCTGGATTGTAGGGTGGTTCTATTTTTAACTTTTTGAGGAACCTCCATGCTGTTTTCCAGAGTTGTTGCACCGTTTGCAGACCCACCAACAGTGTAAGAGGGCTCCCCTTTCTCTGAATCCTCACCAACACCTGTTTGTTAATTTTAGCCATTCTTACAGGTTTGAGGTGATAGCTCATTGCAGTTTTGATTTATATTTCCCTGATGATGAGTGATATTGAGAAGTTTTTCATGTATCTTTTAACCATTTGTATGTCTTCTTTGGAGAAAGATCTATTCAAGTCTTCTGCCCATTTCTTAACTGGATTATTTATTTTTTGGGTGTTGAGTTTGATTAAGTTCTTTATAGATTTTGGATACCAGCCCTGTATCTGACATGTCATTTGCAAATATCTTCTCCTATTCCGTAAGTTGCCTTTTAGTTTTGTTGATTGTTTCCTTCACTGTGCAAGTGTTAAGCTACTACAGACATAACAATAATGTCAAAAGGGAGATTATCTGCTTTTCCACTGTAGTTGACTATGGGTAACTAAACTACAGAAAGCAAAACCTCAGCTAAGTGGGACACCACTGTGTTAGAAATAAATATTCCGGGGCGCCTGGGTGGCGCAGTCGGTTAAGCGTCCGACTTCAGCCAGGTCACGATCTCGCGGGGTCCGTGAGTTCGAGCCCCGCGTCGGGCTCTGGGCTGATGGCTCGGAGCCCGGAGCCTGTTTCTGATTCTGTGTCTCCCTCTCTCTCTGCCCCTCCCCCGTTCATGCTCTGTCTCTCTCTGTACCAAAAATAAATAAAAAAACGTTGAAAAAAAAAATTAAAAAAAAAAAAAAAAGAAATAAATATTCCTACAGTGTCATTATTTCAAGGAAAAGCTGGTTCAAATACATAGAAAAACAGGGGGCATTTATGTTTTTTTATTAAACTATATAATTATTTTAACAGTATACAGAAAATAAGCTTTTTAAACTTAGTTTTCATTAGATATATAATTTTAATGGTCCCCCCCCATTTATATATCTTACATAGAAAGTGATTATAGTTAACTGGGGTTCCCCCCCCCCATTTATATATCTTACATAGAAGGTGATTGTAGTAGCGTAGTTAACACTATTTAGTGTGGTAGCAAATAGCCACATATGGCTATCAGACATTCAAAATGAAAGTCTAGAATAAGGTGGGCTGTAAATAGGAAACACCTACTAGATTACAAAGGTTTGATACAAAAAAGTATATAAACTATGTCATTAAAATAGCTTTTATATTGCTTAAATATTGACATGATATATTGGATAAATTGTGTTAAACAACATATTAAATTTCACTTGGTTTGAAAGTTTGTGTTTTTTTTAAATTTTTTACCATTTATTCATTTTTTGAGAGACAGAGAGAGACAGAGTGTAAGTGGGGAAGAGACAGAGAAAGAGGGAGACACAGAATCTGAAGCAAGCTCCAGGCTCTGAACTGATAGCACAGAGCCCAACACAGGGCTCAAACTCACAAACCGTGAGATCATGACCTGAGCCAAAGTCGGATGCTTAACCGACTGAGCCACCCAGGTGTCCCAAGTTTGTGTTTTTGTTTTTTGTTATTTGTTTTGTTTTGTTTATGTGGCTACTAGGAAACTTAAATTTTCACATTGGTTTGCATTTATTCACATTATGTTTCTGTGAAACAATGCTAAAAAAAGTCCTTTCAGATTTGGCAGCATGATATGTGAGTTCAGGTCTAGTATGGGAGGAAAAGATCAGAGAGAGAAAAACATCATCTCCTGAATCTTGTTCTTAAGATCCTCCTTCTTCTCAGAGTTGCTTGGAGCTTATGAGAATTTTGAGAGATTAGAGGGAAAAGCTTCTGAAGTATGCTGATCATGAACAGCTTACCTCAGAGAGTTGAGCCCTGGTGTATTTGAAATACATTGTGGTACAGGAAAGTTTGTGGCTCAGAAGCCCAAAGAATCTTTTTATGACTTAACTCCCTTATGGTTCATTCAGCTGCAGTTTGTGTATGTTTTGATTACATTCTTTTGCAAACTTAGCTGGAACTAAAGTTTTATGGGCAACTACTATGTGTAATGTGTTTTCTCTGTGTTATTTCACATGACCCACAAGATAGGTTTATTATTAGGTAGTTGTTATTTTTCCAGATGAGGAAATTAAGTCACAGAAAGACTGTTAGTTGCCTGAGGTCACAAACTTAAAGAGAGGGAGACACAGGAATCCAGAACCCAAAGCTGACGTCCTGTATAGTATCAACTTACTGTGTTGTAAGTTACCTGATTACAAAAATTAGTCCTTCCTTAACACTTGCTCTGACCAAATAAAATATATGACTACAAAACATTGTATTGTAAAGCAAGTATTTTAATTCCTTGAAAATAGGAGATTGATCTTTACTTTGGTAAAGGTGCTTGAATCAATGTACATAACTGTGCATTTATTCATTCTTCCATCCTTTTTTAATCATCTTTTTTAAAAAGTTGCCCCCTCCCCTTGGCTGCAGTTGACCCACCCTTTTCATTAATTGACAGACAAGTATAATGGCTGAGAGGCCATTATATATAAGATGGAATTTGGCTCCAGTCTTAGCAGCT